AGCTGATGGGAAGTGCGTTTAAAACTGAAAGCAGGAGGAACTTATTAGTTGTGGGACTTTGGATCAAACTACCGAGCTATGCCGTCGAAGCTTATGCCCTGGCCTTGCTCAAGACATGACTGAATGAGAGCCTTAAATCAGTTAGTTACTGAAAACCAACAGAATGGACCCCTGCATTTATAAAAAGATGAAGATACGGATGGATATGGGGATTAAGTGTTGTACAGCCACCACTGTCATGAATCACTGAGGACTGTCACGGGCTGCTGTCCAGGCTGTGCCGCAGAAGGAGGTCAGAGACTCTGCCGACAGCTCCAGGCACTACATGTCAAATAGTTGTCTCTGTCAGTACACATGCTTGTTCAGAGTGCAGGGCGAGGCCTGCAGCCCAGCAGCCACCAGCACAGGTCCGCAGCAGGAAATCAGCCAAGCAGCAGCTGCTGCAAGGCGGCCGTGGAGTGGGTCTTCACAGCTCTCACACAGCTGGGCTCCTGGGAGCCCGCAGTGCCCCACTGGCAGGCTCTGCTGGACTCGCTGCCCTTGAGAAACGTCTAACGGCCTGTTCTGGAGGAAAGCTTGCACAGTGCTCGATCTCCCTTCCCATGCTGGTCCAAAGGTCACAGCAATACCCCTGATGGGGTTAATAAGATCAAGATTCGTTCATTCCGAACGTGAGGGGTTTAAATGAACAATGGTCGACAGTTTCCGAACTTAAAAAAAACCTGAAGAAGCAGGTCCCAAGAATAAAGTTGCAAACATTAAAACAGCTCTAAAACTCTGAAATACCAGACTCTGCGCCTTATACATTATTTTGTTCTTACCTTACCTTTAATTATACGGTTTTAATTTTTGAACACGAATAGCAAAAACACTGCTCTCACCATTATATCACTTAGGTCTTTTCTACAAACAACAAGACGCCCAGATTCTGGCAGCGATTCCGAATACACACTGTCGTGCAGCTGGAGGATGTGCTTTTCTGCGGGGAGAGAAGAACAGAGACAGGAGGGTGACACCAAGATACAGTAGGTCAAAGTGTCTTTCTCACATGATTTCCTTCAGCCCTCTGTTCTGCTTTGCATGGTCCAGACACTGGGAAAAAGAAACTGGTTGAGTCTGGACTGCATCCAACTGGAACAATTTCTTTGGTCTTAGAAGCTTAAAATTGATTTCATTTCATTTTTCATGGTGCCTGTATGTTCAACATCAGGCGGTCTAAGAACGCATCACACTTTATAAAGATTGCTATAAACGAACTTGCTGGACCTCAAGTATTGAAATGGCACCTCTGCCCCACACACACCAGCTGGGGCGGATGTGCCCTCCTGCCGAGCTGCAGTAAGGCTCTGGCCTGCTTGGCGAGTCCCTCCCTCGTCCCCGGTGGGGAGCAGGGGAGGGGAGTTACCTCCAGTGAAGGTCACCACCATTAACGCCATGTCTTCCTCCGTCTGCTCCATCTTCTCAGCCACGGCCCTGAGCAGCTCCTGGGCCGAGACGGGCGCCTTGGCCTTCACACTCACGTACGAGTCCGTCGTCACGTACACGCGGCAGAACACTGGCCAAGGGGGGAAAGGGCAAAAGGCAAAGTGTCAGTCCGCGTGACATTGCCACAGCAGCAGTGAGCCTGTGGGAGACGGGCTCGCTGAGTTAGTAGCGCCGCCCACCTCCAGCCACAACCTCATCTTCCACCAGAACACAGGCTTATCAGATCAGCCACCTCCTGGGAGACCTCCTGTCTACAGCAAGTGTGCTGCCTGGGCTGCAGCAGTGTCCACTGGGGACTAAACCAACACCAGAGCCGGCTTGTTCTTGGAAACTGAACTCTGGGGAAACCCGTTCTTCACGAACAGTGCGAAACGTACACAAGCTGTGCTACTGTTAGAAAGAGGAAGGACCTCGGTATTATATAACTACAAAAATACTGAGCTCCACAGACATGGTTCTGCACAGGAGAGGCTCCAGTGCCCACTGTGTGGAGGCAGGTCTTCAGGGTGGGAAGACCCATAACAGCAGACCTCGGGCACTACATCCAGAATACAGACCATTCAGTGCCTAATACTTTACTCGATCAAGAGAATCTTAAAATCCACTCCGTTTAATTACCTACACATTAGTTGTGTTGATGCATAATGAAGCCTATTTAGCACCTCAGAAGATGCCCCAGTATGTAAGGCATACGCAGGTTGAAGACCGATGCCTTAAGTACATGACTGAAGACGCCCCCCGTTCACAGCGCTACTGATTCTAACAGCGGTCGGGGAGACTGCAGTCCCTCCTGGACCTGTTCACACGCTCAGTGAGCTGAAGGACCTGGCCACCCTGCGCGCTGCGCCCAGTGTGGGATTCACAAGCCCATCGCCCCACCACCTACTCCTTCTCCCCACCTGGGTCACGTTAGGACCTGTTCAACTCTTAAAGCAAGGCAACAAACACTTTTGAAATCTTTAAAATACAGCAAAACATAGGCTCAGTAACAATCTCGGAGATCAGACGCAGCAAGCCGGCTCCCTCCTATCGGATTGGGACAGAACAATCTTACTCCTCCTCTGAAGCCTCCCACCCGCCTCAGAGCTGCTGAGCTCCAGGCGCCTTCGTTGTACCTTAGTTGTACCTTCCAGTACTTCCAGCTCGAACCACGCCAGTCCTCCCCTTATCCCCACCGAACGCTTTCCAGCTCACTTCCTGATCTCAGCCAAGAGAAATTCACACAGCTGCATCACGCCTCTCAGAGCCGGACAAAACCAGCTCGTTGGGCTCACAACCCCCGACCTTTCCTACACCTCAACATGGAAAATCAATCACCTTTTAAATGACCTCTGTATAACTGAGGATACCTGCGCATTCATGAATAACACACTGCATTTAACTAGAAGCTCGCCTACGACACTGTAAACAGTCTCCCATTGCCTCTGTGGGAGACAGGCAGTGAGAACCACGCACACAGACGCTGCACACCCTGCTCTTTGCACTGCGGAAGCCTGTAAGGAGCACCATGGGGATTATAATCATTTAACAGTCATTATCGTACAATGCCTTCTCTTCCTTGGACCATACGGTGAGTGAATATGTGTGGCAGCTTACACAATGGATTCCAGACCCGTTCGGAGTCACACACTGCCAGCCAGCTACCCTCCAGCTGCTCTGGACCTCAGCCATTTACTGTATGTCATCTGTATCACACGTATCCCACACATTGTTTTCTGAGCATAAACACAATGGCAGGACGACCTTTCTAATAAGATATGCAGGCAGATCTTCCCTCAATACATATTTTTCTAAAGCAGTGAGCGTTACAGAAATCCCCTCACTGCACTGCTTACCTTCCTTTGCCTCACTGTGTGGCCCTCTGGGCTGGAGCCAGTTTTCCTTAAGGCTGAATTGGTGGAAGAGGGCTTTATTCTGAATAAAGGGAGGGAAGGAAAATTAATTAAGCATGGATTTCTAACACTGATTACATCACACTCACGCTTCTGTCCCACAATGCAGACACACCTTGCCCAGGAAACGAGCTGACAATAGTGCGTTTCTGCAGGGCTGGCTGCCACAGACCAGCCTCACTACAGCGAGGGGTGGCGGTCCACAGCTGGTGACTGCGGTGACCCCTTGTGAGCAAGACTCTCCCTGCCCCTGCCAGGAATCGAACCCGGACGCTCGTGGGCCCCCAGCACGCACAGCGCTCTCCCCACACAGTGGATATCTCTACCACACCAAAGGTCCAGGCCCCCAGTGTGGAGAGTTTAGAGAGGCCTTGCTCAGCGCACTGAGCCCTGCCTACGTTAGCTGTCCAACACTGGGCCTGATGGAAACCTCACCCCAACCAGCTACAGACCCTCTGCTTGCAGGCAGGCTTCTGCGGCAAAGGAGGAGGAGGACTCTGATGCAGGGAGAGCAGACACCAGGTGCACTGCAGCTTTCTAAGTTGCTGGCTCTGTGTTCAGCAAGAATGTACCTGTACCTGCGTTGTAAAAGCCCGTCCTAGGAATTTCAGCAGCAAAAAAAAGAGCAGGAGCTGAAGCGCGAGGAGATCTGATGCGAGTATCAGCGCTCAGCTGTGGCCTGAAATTATTTCCATTGGCCAATGGTTTCCAGTGCGACCTCCACCCTTCGCTCAGGTTGGGCTTGTGTTTGACCCGCGTTAAGCATCGATGTAAACGTTCCCACACGCACACCACTCCACCCACACGCTCAGCGTCCTTTTAAAGGCACTGAAATCACTCCCTCGTTTCAATGGAGCCGATGAGGCTCCCGAGAGGCTCGCAGGCAGAGAGGACTCGGACTCAGAGCTTACCTTTCTGTGGGGGGAGTACTCATCGACAGTGCTGAGGAGAGAAGACGACAGAACCACGTGACATAAAACATGCTTGACATTAGATGAAAAGAGTTTGATTTTTTTTTCCCCACGAACACGACATTCTTACTTTAAAATATTTTTTTTTCCCCACAAGGTGCACCAACAGAATACAAAAAAGTGGAAGCTACAGCTAAAACTTCTGGGGTGTTTTTTCCATCACACACAAGTTTAATGATGCTAATTCAGATGTTTGAAGGTATAATAATTTTTAAAACACTTTCATCAGGTGCCAAAGTAAATATCAACAATTAATATTATTTCAATATACAGTATCAGCTCTTATTTCCCTTACTTCCCTAATTTCCTTATTTACCGTGCACTTGATGTTCAATGACAACAGAACCTACACCTACACACGGACATAATATGTACATCCAACAGAGCACAACAAACAGAACGATTCTAGACTCCTCTGCCCAACCCAGCAGGAGAGACAAATGATAAAGCTGTGCAGGCTGCTGTCATTATTAGTTTGGTCCCTCCTGGTTCACCCATGTTGTTTTTTCCAATTTTAAATTTCCTCGGATTCCAGTCCGTTTCTATGCAATTAGTCTAAGCCTCTACGGGGGTCTCTTGGTTAATCACCGATGCTCTCAGGTCTGTCTGAAGATGAGCCGAATCATGGAGGCGAGCTTTAGGTGACCTTTAAACAGCAGGCCATTTTAGGCAGGGAGCCAGGGTTCATTCCAATATGAAGTAATAAAAAAATAACAAAGTCTTCAGAATATTCAGTGCAGGGGTGTCATTTTTTTTAAACGGTCTCCCCTTCACTGCAGTCTGAGCCTGGTCTGTTAGGGTCACAGATCATACATCGAAGCAGCGCAGCAGCATAAACCAGAAAACAAGACGAGAATGGCAAAAACGTCAACTAAGGTCGGGGAGGTCACTCCTGATAGCCT